AGAGAGAGAGAGAGAGAGAGAGAGAGAGAGAGAGAGAGAGGGAGGGAGAAAGAGACGTTTCAGATGGAAAATCTTCCAGCGGGCAAGATTGTAATTGCTACGTAGTGTTAGTTTGACAATACAACACCTTTACACTCACGACACGTGGTATATACAGTCATATAATATACCAAAACAGTCACATATGGTATATACCTATACACTATATATATATCAGGGACATAGCTAGCAGGGGGATCAAGGGACAGATCAATATACATGTTTTTTTCATTAGATTTGAAAGTTAGAAAAGCACTGATAATGTAAGTCTAAGCTATACGCAACAGATGCATTAGCATATACATAGAGTCAATGAGCCGACTGTCCAAGAACACTTACAACACATTGTGCGAGTGACAGTCCAGGCAGTCCGGCCATTCTGCTGTTCGCTTGTCCCACGTTAACGCCTTCGCTTGCAACAAACCTGTCACCTGTCTTCGCTGTAACGTGAAGCGACGGCAAACGTACGCCCATTGTTCGTGATTGTTCTTATTGCCACCAAAGTGGCATGATACATTTAATAATTGCGCAATATCATTTGTAAGTAAGAAGAATAAAAAGTAGAATAAAATTTCCCAGTAGCATGGTATCATTTCCCAGTTGGATAATATCATTTCCAATATAATAGGAGGCATTATACCATTTTCAAATTGCATCATATTGTGTCTCTGTACAATAAGATAATTTCCCAGTGCCTTTTTTATCAGCCAAATGATAGGATATTAATCATTCGAATTAGTATTTCTTTAAGTACTAAATTTTATTATACAAAGACATTAAAATTGGCCCTTTAATTTAGCTTTTTGTAAAATCTGACTTTATTTTTTAGCAATATCTGTGTTTATTTCGTAATATCACACCGATATTATCCTCTTATTTTCTTATTACTGATATTGTTCTGCAAGTCATGAACACTCAAACTTAAATGCAAAAATCTTCCTAATATCCCCCACCAGAGACAGATGGGACACTATACGTTCACTATGAGATGACTTTCTACGTATGAAGCCTTCAGTTATATGCGGAATGTTAATAAACGAAAGCCAAACAAAACTAGCAGTACTGGAAAACTTACTTTCAATTTTAGCGGAGAGCATGCATCAGAGACACCGGCACCCTCTTCAGTGAACAGGCCGAGATTTGCCAATATGTCGAATTCGACATCTACATAAAAATGATAAGCAATGATGTATTCAATCATGAACTTATTCCCATACATACAGTTGCCACGTATAAACAGAAAACAAACACTATTAAAACATGTAAGTTGCTGCTCGTGAGATATAGGACATATCTATTTAAAACTAGAAACGAGCAGTTGTCGCCAACTACATGTATCCCCCGTGATCAAGTATGAATAGAATATCTCTGTAAGGACGTAGAAGGCAGGTAAAGTTAAATAAGTCATAAAGACAAAGGTTTGTTAGACAACTGGTGTGTCTCAGATGTGCAAGTCTATGGAATCTGGTTACCCTAGGAGGCCGAAGAGGAAATGTAAGTCGACGGTGAAGGTCAAGGGCAGTGGTGGTTTTGGTATGCGACAGACCTTTTCCCCAAGATGTGTAAGCATACTAAGTTTGGTCGCGCTAGGTCAATTAGGGGCTGAGTTAGAGAGCGGAAGAGAAATATGATCAAGGTCAAGGTAAAGGTGAAATAAAGGTCGAAGTGACCTGGTGGGCAGTTTTTACCCGATCTCGGATCATCTTCAAATTTTGCATGAAGGTGTGTTATGGTAAAGCGAAGACGCCAATCGTTTTGGTGTGGGCGGAGTCATCGTTGCCATGGTAACAACATTTTTGTGGAAACATTGTAGAACCTGTAACTTGTGCTGTTTTTACCCGATTGTCATGGAATTTTTATTTTTAAATTTAAATTTAAATATAAATTTAAATATAAATTTTAATACAAATATAAATTTCATGACAATCGGGTAAAAAGTTACAGGTTCTAGAATATTTGAGCAAAAAATGTTGTTACCATGGAACGATCTCCGCCCGACACCCAAAAACGATAGATTCCTTCGCTTTAGCGATTAACGCACCAATTCAATATCGAATCTTGAAGTGATGCCGAGTAAGAACTGCAGCCGGTACCGTTCACAAGGAAATGCTCTACGGCGGCGCGGCGGCGGCGCGGCGGCGCGACGATGCCACAACTCATCAGTGATCCACACGAACTTGTCGTTCGGGTATTAAAATTACCATCATGTATCTATTGAGATAGAGATACACATCTAGTAAACACACAAACACCGACCTAACCAATGTGAAAGCTCACATCGAAAAAACATAATGATAGCTAGCAATAAAAAACATAGCTCTATTAAAATACAAAACGACCTATGCCGAGAAACAAACAAAACCCCATACATCCAGCAAAACATAACACACGCATATACTTAGACAAACATACGAACCAGCAACACACAAAGACAGGCCTAGTAACACACAAATGCACATGTCTATTAAGAAACAAGCACACATCAACTAGGATGCAAGCACATACAAACTAAGAAGCAATCACATACGTACTAAGACACGAACATACGTCGTAACACACACACAACACACACACACACACACACCACACACACACACACACAAACACCAAACACACACGGCACGCACGCACACACACGCAGCGCACACACACACACACACACCACACATACAACACACACACACACACACCATAACACCGACGCACACATCGCACGCTACACACATGCAACACAGCACACACACACACACACACACACACACAAGGCACAGCAACACACAAGCTAACACACAACAACACTGACACACGAAACACACACACACACACACACACACACACACACACACACACAGCACACACACACCAAACCACAACACAGCGTATGTCAAGAAAATAACGAAAGAGAAGCAAATAGCAAGAAAAGAAGATGAATGACTGAATATAACATAATAAATAACTTAAATAATAAATAAATACAAATGAAATAAAGTATAAATAAATAAATAAATATACAAATAACATAAACATTAAATATATAATCGCAAGGATATCCTCAACGTTAAAATTGAAATTCTAATGAAAATATTTTAAAAATATCCTACAGTGTACTTATTAACATACTAATTAAACTCATAATTATTGATAATTAAAACTGATAATTACCAGATAAAATTACCAGATAGTATTAAATATTTTCATTAGTATAGGGGCCACAGATTTGCCATATAATTATATATGTTTAATATATTTATTATAAAAATATTATAACATAAATTTGAATGCATATATGTTAAAAATTTTCCCCTTCCCTGCACTATAATTATAAAGCAATGCGCTCATGTGTGCATATACTCCATACCTTATCAATTTTATAANACATATCTTTAGTACCTGACACGACAACGACCCCATCTGCGTCAATAAAGAGTATTTCGGCTTACCCTGTTGCACGGGCGGCGGTGGAGCACACATCAGACTATCTTCAGAGGCATACCGCTCCAGGGTTTCCCTCTGTTTCTCACGGTGTCTCAACCATGCTCTCTCTGGCCAATCTCCAGGATCCGTGCTGGCTGCTGGAATAACACATACATCACATTAGATGACGTCAGGTGTGAATAAAAGCAAAGTTAATAAAGCTGACTGAATGGGTACGGGGGATAGCGATTACGTACGATGCTAGGAGAATGTTTGGGATCGATTCTGAGCTGAGGTTTGTTTAATTAAAACTAATAAATCGTAGATAGACTAGGGACAGAGAACATTGGATTTCCAATAATTTAGCTTTCCACAACTCTTTGTATTTATTCACCTATGATGACGTCATCAAATCCTCACTAAGCTCCCTTCGTTTATTTTCGTATTCTTTATCACCCTGGCATCATGTAATTTTCTTGTAATTTTTCAGTGTCAGCTTTACAATTCTTTTTAACTATACCATGCTCCATGACCAGCGAAAAGTATGTCGGATGAATACGATAATTGTGGATTGCTGAAGCTGAATTCAAAATCTGCCACTGGAAATTGCCAAATGGATATTGTTACGAGCTAGCCTATGCCTAATAGGCAAACAAATTGAAATATTAGGCCAGTATAGGCTGCTGACATGCTAGCATTTTACATCAGACCAGGAATATCCGGCTCCTGGAATGTCATAACAGGGTTTTCAACATACAAGCTTACCTTTGCAATTTACCAAAATGCTCGACCTTCAAACCGCAAAAATAAAATTGCTGGGAAGCTCAACCACAAACTTCTCTGTGTACCTGCGCTGGAAACTTTCTCGTTAGGGAGTGTGTCGTGGAGCATCGTTAGGGGAAGCTGAGGAAGGAAGGCTCGCAGCGTCTCCATGGTGATGGCACTCATCATCGCCCTGTGCTGCCCCCGTGTGAGTGAGTCTCGTCCGTGCTCAGCTAAAACGGAAAATGTCTTCGTTGCACGGGCGATCACCTACATGCAAATGTCACGCGAACATTAAAAAATACTGACACAGCGATCAAGCGATGCGACGTTCTTGGAAATGCGTGAATAGCTTAATTGGTAATTTTAAGATCTCTAACATGCGATTTAATTCAATGAAACGGTCAATCTACGCATTTAATTATTGCAATTTCTATTTGAACTCTTCCTCCTAAATCGCGAACGCTCGCTCGCGCATCACATCGTCTGCCGTCGCCGACAACGACCTCTCGACGACCCCACTCACCGGACCGCTGCCGACATGCTGAGATGCACGCTGACTGCACCGCGTCGTGCATCCTAGCGGCCTGTGCTGCACTCAGCTGCGGAAGCCCCCTCAACATGTCCGCGACCGCAGCATCATCGCACGCCTCTCCCGCGTCTGCTGAAGGAACTGCAAGAGAGTTAGTGGAAGTGCGGTTCGAAGTTTCAATCAAAACTCGCGAGTTATTGGCATTGATACAAGTGAGCAGCAAGTTATTCTATGTCGATTCCCATTCTTGGTTGATTAAATCATTATTATCTGATCATCAAATGATTGGATCGTCAATGAAAATTGCAAAATGCATTGCTTATGTAGTGGCATCTCAATTCTTTTGTTCTCTGTGAGTCTCAAAAGAAAATTATCACCGATACACAAGTCACCAATGTTTGCAACTCAATATAAGATAATATCAGACATTAGAAGGGTAAAATGTTTCGGTTGCACATCATGACGTAGGCGGTGGGAAGTTTGATGTTTATTTGAGCTGCTGAAATCTGGTGGTTGAGACATTAAACCCTTCCCTCACATGGATACCAAACCATCAAAATGACTCGAATATCTGAAGACCAAATCATATTGAGTCGTCCGTCCGTCAGTGTGTCCGCCCGTCCGTCAGTGTGTCCGCCCGTCCGTCCGTCCGTGTGTCCGCCCGTCCATCCGCCCGTCCGCCCGTCTGTCTCTGCGTCCGTCCGTCCGTGTGTCCGTCCGTCCGTTCGTCCGTCCGTCCGTCACTCCGTTCGTCAGTCCGTTCGACCGTCCGTCCGTCGTCCGTGTGTCCGTCCGTCCGTCCGTGTGCCCGTCCGTTCATCCTTCCGTCCGTCCGTCCGTCCGTCCGTCCGTCCGTCCGTCCGTCCGTGTGTCCGTGTGTCCGTGTGTCCGTGTGTAATGTAATTATGTAATTATATGCCACGTTCGTTTTTCCATTCGTTACCGACATTCCTACTTACGTTCTCTCGCCCAGATAAGTTAAACGCTTAGATCGTAATACAAAATACGTAAACAAGGTTCGAACTGCTGAACGCTCAGACAATCTCTCTATAGCAAACATGTTTAACCTAATTTCCTAAGGCACCGATCTGACAGAATATACGTAGAAACTCTAAGACTTTTCAATCACTGCTAAAACAACACGAAAAAAACTTTATTTCATTTGGGGTGCCACCATGTTCACTGCATGCTTATTATTTAAGGTCTACAACTGTAGAATTTAACCCCTTCTTTTCCACGTGCGAGTCAACCCCAACCACCTTTCCTACTCACATGTCCCTCTACCCACTACACGCCTGTTTTCCACACTCACGTTCAGCAAATCGACCAAACAAGTAAATTGGCAAAAGTTATAATTAATATTGCCCATCCACGAGGATTGGTGATAAAAGAAGAGTAAAATTTGTGCCCTGCATAATGATCTCACTGCTTTATGTATTTTTAATCCATTTTATTATGAAATTGGTTTGATGGCCATAATAAAACCATACGAAATTTTTATATACCTGATTATATTAAGTGTTTATTTTTTTAATGGATTTATGGGAATTTGGAGGCAGAATGTCCGCTTTTATCCTAAAATTGAAGAACTCTCAGACTGCTTATATTCACAATAGTCTTTCAAATTGAGATTTTTAAAAACCACTATCCAACCACAAATATTATAGCATAATATGAATCGACGATTTATATATAAACTTTCTATAGTTTATTAACATTAAATTATGAATATATTGTCAATCGTTTACTTAGAATACCCTCGTAGATTACTAGAATAGATGTGAATGATTACTATTATTTATACTTATTATTTATATATGCTTGCTGTCTTAATTAGTCATAGACCGCATATAAAACCGTATATATAGACCGCATTGTGTATATGCGGTTATCGTTTGCTTTGACTTAACTGTAAGTATTGTTTTGTTTTGTTTTAACTACCCCACAGTCACTAAAAAACATTAGTGTTGAGAGATTTACTGATATATATATATATATATAGATATATATATATATATATAATTTATATATTCAAAAATTGTCACTATCGAAAATTGTGATGGGTAGTATATATTGTTATCCAGGTCCTTAGCCTATAGGTAACACAGACATATTCTTATCCAGGATTGGGTTTTATTTTTCATATGAATCAAAGCAATGTGTGATAAGTCCTAAAACCTGTGGTCCCAAAATATAGTATTCATCATATCAGGTGTGTATAATATAGATTATTATATAATCTATATTATACATTCCAGATCATATCATATGATTCCTGTTGGTGTAATCATATGATTCCTGTTGGTATATTTTGTATATTTAACAATTTTAAAGTTATAATGAAAACAACAGTACCCCAATCATTTAATTAATTTATCATGCTGTCAGTAAATTAATGAAATACATTTTAATTATATATTTAATTATTGTAATAAAAATATTTTAGATGTTGATTATATATTTTTACTCAATTTAGTTTAATTACATGACATGATGATGTATATATATTTAATTGGCCTGTTAACTGAGGTTCAGCCACAAACTGGACATTATAACAGAGCCTGCTAGCAGTAAGTAGCAGATGTACATCTGCGAATGCTTGCTCGTGTGAACAGCAATACACTGATGATACTAGTATTACTTCCCCCATATCATTTCTTACCTGCTTGTTTGAATGTATGACATGTAAGTTAGTTAAATCCCTTCCCGTGCCTATGTGGTGCATAGAGCGGTGCCTGTCTCCGTTTCCTTAACACATATTTATGACATGTATATGAACAATATTTATCAGCTATGAATGTGTGTGCATTGCTATGTGAATGTATTTATGAACTAATATTTTAATTGACATGCTCTCCTATGTACGCTCATACCGCCATCTCGTTCAGTTCCTAACAACTCAACTTAAAACGAGTCCCAAGTTATATTTGATCTAGACATCCAACAATGTTCAGATGTAAACATAACATTACCGGTTCAGCACATTGTCATGCCACCGAGACGAAAAATAAAATAAAATAAAATAAAAGTCAAACCTGTGCGTCTGCCTATTGTGTTTCGTGCGTGAGATCGCGGCTGCGTTGCTCGATAGATGGCGCTGGCTGGCGGTGCGGCGTGCTGGTCGCTGCAGACTCGGCTGCGTGGTTGCCGTCTCCCCCTGCACGCTGCGTAACGCAGTGTCCGCTATACGCTGCTCATACTTCTCTGTACGTCTGCCCCTATTATAGCTACATGTGCGAGAAAGAGAGAGAGAGAGAGTGAGAGAAAGGGAGAGAGAGAGAGCGAGAGAGAGAGAGAGCGAGCGAGAGAGAAAGAGAGAGAGAGAACGAGAGAGAGAGAGCGAGAGAAAGAGAGAGAGAGAAGGAGAGGAAGAGAGGGAAAGCGAGAGAGAGAAAGAGAGAGGAGCGGGAGAGAGAAAGAGAGAGAGAGAGAGAGAGAGAGAGGAGGGAGGGAGAGAGAGAGATAGGGATGAAGAGTAGGATCAGAGACGGTTGTAAGAGAGAAGAAACAAAGAGGAGACGCAGAGACGGGGGAGGGAAGAAGAGGAGAGAGAGAGACAGAGGAGATAGAAGAAGCAGTAGAACATAAGAAGAAAAGAGAGAAAGGGGAGGGAGAAGTAAGTGAGGGGAGCGAGAGAGAGCGAGAGAAGCGAGAGAGAAAAAGAGAAGAGACAGAGAGAGCGCAGGAGAAATAAGAGCAGAGCGAAAGAGAGAGAGAGAAGGACGAGGGGGAGAGAGAAAGAGAGGAAGAAGAAGAGCAAGAGAGAGACAAGAGAGAAGAAGAGAAAGAGCCGGGGCGGGAGGCAACGAACGGAGAGAGAGAGCAAGAGAGGACGGGAGGAGAGGGGAGGAAAGCGCAAGAGAAGAAGAAACGACGAAAGAAGAGAGAAGAGCGCGAGAGAGAGAGAGAGAGAGAGGAGAGAACAGAGAAAGAGAGGAAGAGGAGAAAAGAAGAGAGAGAGAGAGAGAGAGAGAGGAGAGAAGAGAGAGCAGAGGAGAGAAAGAGAAGAGCGAGAGAAGAGAAAGAGAGAACTTACTTTCAATTTTAAGCAGGCGAAGCATCCGTCATCAAGAGACGAAGACCACCGCACGCCTCTTCAGGTGAACAGCCCGACCGAGATTTGAGCCAAATACTGTCGAATTCGACATCAACAATAAAATGATACAAAGTATAGAAGACAATGATGTATTCAATCACGAACTTATTCCCATACATACAGTTGCCACGTATAAACAGAAAAACATAAAACAGAACACTATTAAACTGTAAGTTTTGCTGAGCTAACAAGTCGAGAGTATACGGACATATCTATTTTAAAACATAACCGATCTAGTCGTTACTCTGATTGCGCAGAAATAGCCTCGATACTAACATCTAGTAAAACACAATTCAGACGCCAAATACAAACACCGACCTAACCAATGTGAAAGCTCACATCGAAAAAACATAATGAATAAGGCTACGCCCATATAAAAACATAGCTCTATTCAAAATAGTAACATAAAAGCCGACCGCAATAATTGCGAAAAACAACACAAAAGCACGTCTAAACAGCAAATACATACATAATCGGAACCGACACCCGACTCAATAATACTTAGACAAACATACGAACCCAGCAACAAACACAAAGATCACAGGTCCTAAGTAACACACAAATGCACATGTCTATTAAGAACAACAAGCACACATCAACATAGGGATGGCAAGCACATACAAACTAAGAAGCAATCACATACGTACTAAAACACGAACATACGTCTAAGTGCAAGGATGTCAATAAAGAGTATTTCGGCTTACACCTGCTGCAAGCTGGCGCGGAGTGGCTAGCACACAAATCAAGACTATCCCTCAGCCAGGCATACACTTCGCTTCCAACCGAGGTTTCCCTCACTTTTCTCTAACCGGTGTCTGCAACCAATACTCTCACTCAGCTAGCCCAATCTCCTGGCTCCGTCGCTCGGCTGCTGGAATGAACAACATACATCAAATATCGATTAGATAGACTAGTCAGGTGTGAATAACAAGCAAAGCTCATAATAAGCTGACTGATGGGTACGTGGGGAATATACAACAGCAAATTACAGTACGGATGACATGGAGCTGCATTTAGGAGACATAAGATTGAGCGGGGATAAATG